TTTGTTTTTATTTATTATTGTATTAAAGTCGTGGTGGTGGCGGTGTGCCAAAATGTGTGAGTTGGCGTTGTGCCAAAATTTGTCGGGTGACGTTTCGCCAAAACTATGGAAGTGATAAGCAGCAACGGTAGTGATGGTAGTTATAATAATAATAATATATAATAATAAATAATGATAAATAATAAATAATAATAAATAGTAATGAGTAATAATAATAAATATTGAAGACAGCCATCTTCGGCACGCACGTGGCCACCTCAGTGAGTATCTGGTCGTGGCTGCTGATGTCGGTGATACGGTATCTGTCCCTCTATCACCCTCTACTGCACTATCGACTGTGGAGATTGCCTCGCAGAATGTTCATTTACATAATATCCATATCGGGTGTGCTGAATGCGTGGCTCTGGGTCAGTGTCATGAAGGATAGGGATGTTGGAGTGGTGGGTTTTGTTATTATTTATTATAATTTTTATGTATTATTATTTATTATTATCGTATACTATTTGTTATTGTGTGGTATTGTTTGCTGTTATATAGTTGTTAGATTCATTGAATTGGCGTCGCGCCAAGATTTGTTGAGTTGGCATCACGCCAAGAAATGCAAGTATCTTATTACTTGTTGTTATTTATTACTGTTATTATTTATTGTTATTCATTGTTGATTATTATTATTTAACATTTCAGGGTTGCTCTCAGACGGCACTATTCAATCAGATCACCCTAAATAAAGTGCTGCTATTATCGGAGATCGGATGGTCTTTCGTGATTCCGATAGTGATTATAACGTTTTTGGACACGTCGATACTGGTAACGAGGCCGAGGTTGTTGTTACCGACGGGGAGTGGGGCGGTGCCGGGGAATGGTAATTCATTCAAGGCAGATGCCTCGAAATATGTTGGTTTCATTCATTTTTTACCTTGGCAGTGGTTTTTGTGGGAAATTTTGTTATTTTAGGTATTTTTTCAGATTGGTTTGGGTATTTTTTAGTGTATTTTGGGTAGTTTTCGGTTGTTTTCGGTAGTTTTCATTGTATTTTGGGTATTTTTTTGAATGTTTTCGTGTGATTTTAGTGTTTGAAACTGAAATTTTTTTCAGAAAGCTCGTAGAACGTTGGTGCGTTGGCTTGTGATTGCATTGATTGATATCGGATTGAACACTCCGGAAAGTATTCATCGTATTTTCATTATTACTGGTTATATATCGCAGGGTATGATCGAGTCTGATACGTATGTTGTGTTGAGGACACTCTCGGAAGTGAGTTTATTTATCTAGTTGTTCGTTTGTTTGCTTTTGGCAGCTCGGAGTCTGCTCCGGAGCCCGGAGCTGCACTTGGAGTTGACTCCGGAACTCGGAGTTGGAGTCGGGCTTCATCACGGAGCCGGATTGGGGAGAAATCGCGCAGTCGCTAGCCTGGTTAATATTGGAGTGGTAATAATAAGTAATAATAATAAAAATAATAAATATTATACAAAAAAATAAATTTGATACGAAGCGCGCGGTGAAAATTGAGCTTTGATCTGAATTGGGTCAAAATTTGCTGTAAATATTGCTTTTCGCGCCTTTTCTCTCTCTCGCACTCTCTTCGATCATCTACACTGATAAGCGATCTTTCGCTTCTGGGAAGTAGATAGCGTTGTGTTGGAGAGAGGGTAGACAGCGAAAGGTCACGGCGGAAGATAGAGAGAGGGGCTCAGTCGATTGTCAGTTAAATCTGGCAGTCAGTGTTGGTTGTTGTTGTGCCACGAGCTGGTTGGTTGAGTTGGGTTGGGTTGTGGCTGCGTTTGGGTTTATGTTATTTATTTTTGCGTTATTTATCTACATTATTATTGTACGTATTGTTTTACATCTACATTATTCTTATATATTATTATTATATATATACATTATTGTTATATATTATTACATATAATAACGTATAGTAATATATAATAATAAATAATAATTATAATAAATAATAATAAATATAACAGTACGATTACCTTACAGGTATTGTATTATTCACAGTTTTCGTTTAATGCAGCCTTTCTGGCGCTGTTCATCTACGACCGTAGCACGTCGTGTCCGCACGCACACGCACACGCCAGCGCATACACGCACGCAGCTCAGGCCATCTCAAACCATCCCGCGACGAGGTCGCAGAGTGGCGACTGCGGCACTCATTTGAGCGCTTTGCATCATGCATCAACCCGATCCTTGAATCGAATCGACTCGCCCGGAGCTCCGGATGGGCCAGGAGTCCGCTGCTCCGAAGCTCGACTCGGAGTCGGGCTCCGGAACGGAGCCGGAGAAAGTCGGCACTCGCCAGATTGCCAGGCTGATTCGGCGAGTCTGGCGCCGGAAATGTTACAGGATGGCCCGTCGTCATTATCATTGTGAGTTGGGGGTGAGGAGTGAGGCTCGAAATGGTCTCCGGGGACAATTTATTCATGTTTTAAGGGGTACTCACGGGGTTTGGGACATTTTATCCATATTCTTGGGGATGCTAACTGGGCTGAGGGCAATTTAGCCGGGTTCAGCGCAAAAAGAATATCACATTTATTGAGACATTATCCAATAAACCCGATATATTTTATAACCTCTAGAATATACCCGGCGGGGAATGTGCATATTGAAGGCTGGTTAAAATGATGACGGGTAAGAAAAAGTTCCCGGGTCCCCGGGGACTAAATTGAGGGGATATCATGTTCGGGGTTAAACGGTGCGTGTAGCATAAATAATTTTCTATATAACGATGAGAGCAATTTCATGTTGTTGTACATATGTAATATGAAGCTTAATTTGTGTATTTATTGATGTGTTAATTGTAAATTGTAAATTTATTGATGTTTTCATTGTGAATTTTATTAATTTGGCGTGAAAATAAATTATTTTCGATTATTTTATCGACGTTTTTGGTTTGCGATGTAACGTGAGCTGCGGTAATGAAGCTGCAATATTTGTATTTTGAAATTTTAAATTTAAATATTGGTCCCGACACGAAAAGTTGCCATAGTGAATTATGCAAATTTTGAACTGAGAACGAACTTCTCAGCGTTGCGTCGCGCTAACGTTTTCATTCATTTGTTTTTTTTTGGCTGTTCTTTCTTGTAAAATATTTGGAGGGGATGGGGTTTTGCGCGATTTCAGGTCATTTTTTAGCGCGAATGTGCTATTTCAGGTCACTTTTAGGAAAGGGGGGGGGATGAATTTGTTGGTATATTTAGATTAGAGGTGGGGAAGGGTGAGTGTAATTTTGAGATATTTTCGAAAATTTACTCTCAAATTTTTGCGTATAGTAGAGAATGAGTGAAATTACTTTATTACTTACTTTACTACTTTACTTATTACTTACTAATTACTTTAGTGAAATTACTTTATTACTTACTACTTACTTTATTTGTACTTAATTCATATCGCTATTATTATTGTTATTATTATTGATGTTGTTGTTGCTGTAATAGTAGTAATAATAATAATAGGTAATAACAATAATCATCGTTGTGCGATATTTATAATTATTGCGTAATATGTTCCAGGTGTAAAATTATTTACGTATTTAATAAGTTTACACCTGGAAAATACCTGGATTACCTGGTGTTTTCCAGGTGTAAACTTATTAAATACGTCAGTAATTAATTATGTCGGTTCTAGGTTAGCTTTTTCGATTACTAACCGAAAGCGTGCTACATCATGGCAGACGAGATAGCTCGTGTGCAGCAGTATGAGTACAGACAGGTCATTTATTATTTATTATTATGATTTATTATTATATTATTTATTATATTATTTATTATTATATTATTTATTATAATTTATTATATTATTTATTATTGTATATTATTAATATATAGTAGTTTAGAACAGTAACTTGGTCTTACAAGTGGACTTCAACTTCACGGATCGTCGAGGTAGGGATGAGCCGACGGGTGAGGTGATGCCCTTGACCAAGTCTATTCTGCAAGGCATCAAGATGGGGGATAAATATCAGCGCGGTAAGGCACCGAAAGAGGATATTAAGAAGCCGAAGAAGTTAGTTATTTATTATTTATTATTTTTATTATTATTTATTATTTGTTATATTTATTATTTATTATATTTATTATTAAAGGAAGAAGAAGAACGNGAATCGTACCACCCGAGTTCGATGTCACAAGGCGGGTCGTTGTTGAGTGCAGAATCGAATAATGAGCTGATGGGGTTGTATAAACCGAGGACACAGGAGACGAAACAGACCTATGAGGCGATTCTGGCCTATATTCAGGATGCACTGGGGGATCAGGTGGATTTATTATTTATTATTATAAACTGTATATTGTAATTTAAATAATGTAAAGTAAATAAAGTAATAATA